TATGTTTATTGCTTTGGTTGTGGGATCGACTCTTCAAGAGAGAATAGTCGCTGAGCAGCCGAATGATCGTTTTTTATGCCAGATGAAGGAGTTGATGGAAGATGGTAAAGTTGGTGGTTTCGCAGTTGCATTCGATGGAGCATTAGTCTTCGAGGGTATACTATGTGTTCCGAAGGTGTGGGAACTGCGACGAGAAATATTGAAGGAGGTTCAAAGTGCCCCGTACACTATTCATCCTGGTAGCATGAAGATGTACCAGGATCTGAGAAAGTCGTTCTGATGGCGTGGAATGAAGAGGCAAGTAGCGAGATTTGTGAACCAATGTTTGGTGTGTCAGCAAGTGAAGGTTGAGCACTAGAAACCGAGAGGGCTGTTGAAGCCACTTGAGATTCCCATGTGGAAATGGGAGCGCATCACCATGGACTTTGTGGTAGGATTGCCGAGATCGAGAGCCGGGCACGACTCTATTTGGGTGATTGTGGATCGACTTACGAATTCTGCCCACTTCTTGCCCGTCAGGACGACTATAAAGGCTAGTGATTATGTCAAGTTGTTCGTTGTTGAGATTGTTCGACTCGACGGGGTGCCCGTGGTGATTGTGTCCGATCAAGACTCAAAGTTTTCGGAACAATTCTGGAAGACTTTGCACCGAGCCATGGGACGAGGTTGGAGTTGTTTAGTAAATGGTTTGGTGGGCCAAGGATAATCGAGTTACCTGACTCGGGTCGATCTCGAGGGAAGGCTATTCAGAGCTTTATCTACTAGTTGATTATCCAAATCACAAAAAGATCAAATCCTAAACATTCAAAGCAATTGGATTGGAGGATGATTATCACTAAAGGAGCACTAGAAAACGAGCAATTAACTAAGAGCAAGATCAAATCACGAGCAAGTAGCAAACTAGATCACCGGAGTCTCATGCCATAACCATAACGAGATGATAATCAATCGACATAAGGAATAAACGACCTATGTGCATTAGATTGCTAACCCTAGTCGTCTAACGCTAAGTGATTAAGCCTTAATTGGGTCTTAATCCTTAAACGAGATCAACAAGCAATTAACTCCTCTATCTACTCAAGCAAGCAATCAAGTCTCGACTTTGCAACCATCATCAATCAAATCTAAATTTACCCTAATAAAC